CTGACGGATTGCGGCGAAATAGGGTGAAAATTAATGGCGTTTTATGTCGTTTAATAGCCGTTTCTGATGGCCTTTCAGACAGCCGGAATGATCCTCCTGAGTAGTATTATTTTTATAATGTGTTCAATTCATTCAAAGAGTTTAGATTTGAAAAGAATGAAATAGCTCGTGTCTTTTATTGCCTTCACAGTACTTGACTCAATTTGTCTTTAGTTATTGATTTTTTGCATATGCCATCAAAAAATGTTCGTTACTCTGTTCCAAATAACAGTTCGAATATGTATAACATTCGTTCAACGAATAATGATGCACTTTAACAATATTAGCTTCTTTCGTTCTCTTCAAATATAATTTGCGAGTAACACAGATAATTGCCATGGTCTTTCATTTTTGTTGTCTCCTTTTTTTTTGTCTATACATAATTTTCTATCTCCTGCTCCTGCCAGTAGTGTCAAACTTGAGACTTGAATTCAATTGAAATTTCAACTTTCAACTGAAATTTCAAGTTTCAAGTTTCAAGTTTCAACTTTCAACTTTCAACTTTCAAGTCGTTTCACGACCGGTCCTTTTCTGGGCAGTTCTTTCGCGGCACCCACACCAGCTACGATGTGATATGTGTCATTTCGTGGCCAGTTCTTTCGCCGCACCCTCACCAGGTGCGATGATGTGTGTGTGAGAATGCGGGTTAGTGGTGATTCTTCAGAGTGCTGCCCATTTGAGGCTTGAAAGTTGAAAGTTGAAAGTTGAAATTTCAATTGAATTCAAGTTTCGAGTTTGACATATATGGCTCCTGCAACAATCAAACTAGTGTATCGTGAAAACATGTATCTATGTCTATTTCTTTAATGCCCCTTATATATCTAATTGATGAACTTATAATATCACAATAAATTTGAGCCGAGCGCAAACAAAAAATTATAGATTATTTTAGTCAAATAATTATTTCACAAAAATATTAATTTTTTTGCTTATTAATTAAAAGATTCTTTTGGATAAATCTTAGACGCTCTTTTACAATCTCCAAAATTACTGATAGATGGCACTCATAGAGATAAATAATATATAAGCACATGTTTCGCAGAGATGTTGAGTTTCATCAAAAAAAATTAACATTATTATTAGAAATAAAAACAATAACTTATAGAAAATTTGGTACTTTTACACTTTAGGACCCCAAAGTTTCTAATTGTCACCAACTCTGTCGTCCTCACCCTCACTTTCGTGTTCGTTCTGTGACCAAACAGATGCTTGGAGTGCTAAAATATGAAAGGACCGAATATCCTGGCTCGNACAATGGTGAGGTTAGTTTCTGACGACCACTTTCCCGCGCCCCCCCCCCCCCCCCCCCCACCTTCCTCTCCCCATTACAGACTTTAGCAAGGGAGAATAGCAGGTGTCAGAGTTTTTAGTTTTTTTTGCAAAATTGATTAAGTTATAATTGTAAAACATAGTCAACATCATTGTTTGTGAGTTGATTAATATATATAATAATGCGTAAAATCTGCCGTAGATATCATGGATATGTAAAATAGACTTATTTGCCGACTAATTCAATGATTTTACTAATAAGAATATGAAATTAAAAACACACGAATTAGAAAAAATGAAAAATAATGAGCGAATATCAATAATGCAAACAAAAAATAGAGCACACCTACAAAAAAAAATTCTGCTTGGAATACAGAAATAAATAGGACAAATATTTACTTTGCTGATCGATTGTCTACGAACACAACTATAATCTATGAAGGATTTTTCACTTCGCATATTTTTTAGTAGTTTAATAAGGCTAAAGAATATATGTAAGTTTTATATTTCAATCCCAAAGAGGCTGCGCTAACATGCTGTTTTCTTATTACTGAAGTTTGTTGATTTTTTTTACTATCATATTTCATTTCTAAGTCTTTATTGTATTAAATAGGTGTATATAGTAGTCGACCTCTACTATACAGGCATATAGTTGAATCAATCTATGTCACACGTTTACTGGCGGTATCGTCAATATATCGTTGTACTCGTAAGAATCGGCAGGCTACTGCTTACCACTTTCAGCTCCAAGTATAGACAATTGCAGAGAATGCTTTCTACTAAAATTCGAATTTATTATTGGAAAAAAATTAAATTCACCAAGAAAAATAGGTTTAGAATATGTTGTACTAATAATAATATTCGCAGCGGGACCAATAATAGAACACTTATCTTAGAACTGGAACCGATTTCGGCCCTGTGACCAGCATAAGCGGGTCAGACGCGTCAACATTATCAGAATGCGTCGGAATCGATTGAATTCTATCAGTTTTAACAGACTTCAAAAAAATTAACCCGCTTTGATAGATTACACCATGAAATACTACTTTCAAAAAATAACGGACTACTTTTGTCCGATTTGAATCACATGGAAAACTAGTGCTGAGTAATTTAAATATATCACTCTAAAAAAAAGAAATGAGACACTTTTGAGATGAACTGCAAACCTAGCGTGGTTCTATTCTTTTATTTTATGTGCATAAAAACTGGGGAGCAGATCTCGTGTAATGGAAAACGTGTTAACGTTCTTTATAAAAACGAACAGACAACAAAAAAATGTAGAAAAAAATAGATTGATTCGCCCAGCTATGTCGTTCTGAGCATTGTAATTAGTTTGCGGAATGAACTGGCTGAAGCTATGAATTTGGACCATTGTTTTTCAATGATAGCATATGTTTTTATAAAATGACACCTCATTTCTTTCGTTTTATCTTAAATCAATCAACAGAAAAGAAACAAGTTCAGTTCTAAATTCGTTATGTTCTATTTGATATTTCTATTCTAACTTTATCGAATAAATCTTGTTCAAATATTTAATGAAGATTATCTTTGTATAGATAGTCTCAAGTATCTACTTTTACTTTATTGGGTCAAACGAGAACGAAATCGGGAAAAAACATCATGTGTTCTTATCTATTATTAATCCTTAACAGTACGTCGTTCGACGAAAGGTGTGTGTGTCTACTATGTTTACCATTTTCTTTATTCTTTTCTTTAAGGAAGATAAGATAGACGCTGAAGGACGCGTGCACAAAGACAACACAGTTTATTATAAAAACATATTCATAAATCATAATATTGACGAGTCACTAAACTGGCTAATACTACTATGAATTCTGATCATATATTATCAATTCCTGATTTAATTGCTAAGAAACGTGATGGTTTAGAACTTAATTCACATGAAATACAACAATTTATAGATGGTCTTACAAATGGTGAAGCTCAAGATTGTCATGTCGGTGCTATGCTTATGGCAATATTTCTCAAAGGTAATTTTAAAAAAATTTCATTTGATTTTCTTTTTTCTTTTCAATTTCGTTGTAAAATTTTCTTTTAGGTATGACTGAAAGAGAAATTTGTTCATTGACTATGTCTATGCGTGATAGTGGTGAATGTTTAAAATGGTCACAGTTTCGTGGCTTAGTTGTCGATAAGCACTCAACAGGTGGTATAGGTGATAAAATAAGTATTCCATTAGCACCAGCATTAGCTGCATGTCAATTAAAAGTACCAATGATGTCTGGTAGAGGTTTAGGTATAACTGGTGGTACATTAGATAAACTTGAATCAATACCTGGTTATCAAACACAATTAACAAATGAACAAATTGTTGAATTAATTTCAACAGTTGGTTGTGGAATATTTTCTCAATCACCAAAATTAAATCCAGCTGATCGTTATTTATATTCAATACGTGATGTTACATCAACAGTACCAAGTAATGCATTAATTATATCATCAATATTATCAAAAAAAGCTGTTGAAGATATTGATGCACTTGTTCTTGATGTTAAATATGGTGCATCAGCAATGATAAAACCACGTGAACTAGCAGAAGATCTAGCTCATTGGTTATATAAAGTATCAGAATTGCTTGGAATGAGGACATGTTGTTATATAACTGAAATGAATAATCCAATTGGATATTGCATTGGAAATGCAATTGAAATTCAAGAATCAATTGAACTTATGAAATATAAATCAGGTCATTCAAATGATTTAGAAGAATTAGTTTGCGAACAAGGTACATAGAAAGATAGAATAAGAACAAAAAAATAAAACAGAATTAAGAAAAATTCATTGATTTTAGGTGGTCGTCTTCTTTTACTTACACATAAAGCAAAAACAATTGAACAAGGTCGAGAAATGATTCGTGAAACATTTAAAAATGGATCAGCCTTACAAAAATTTCATGATATGATTATTGGCCAAGGTGTATCAGAAACTATTGCAAAACAATTAATAAGTAATGATGAAAGTATGATTGAATCTATTTTAAAACTTGGTGATGTGCATTATCAAGCTATATCATCAGAAACTGGATTTATTCAATCAATTGATTCGTTTAAACTTGGTACTATTGTTCAACGTCTTGGTTTGTTGATTATATAAATCGTTTTTAAATTTTCCATTTTCAACTGTTTTTGTAGGTGGTGGACGTTTGAAATCAACAGATAAACTTGATCATTCTGTTGGTATTCGTCTATTAAAACATGTTGGTGATTCTATTCAACAAAATGAACCATGGGCTATATTATTTGCTAATCATGATGCCAAGCATTATTATCCAAAATTTTTAGATGATTTAAATACATCACTTAATGTTACTTCATCACCAGTCGAACCTTTACAACGTATTTATAAAGTTTTGGGATCAACATAAATGCATGAATATTTTCGATTCATTTTCTTTTTTTGTTAATATTTCATGCACAAAAAAATAAAAGGACTTGGAAATTTAAAACTAACAAGACAATCACGTAGATAAAACTAAAACCGAATGGTTTTAGTTAGTTTCACATATTGTATTGATTTCCTTTTTTTTGGAAGTGTTTCATCTCAATAAAAAAAAAACAAAGGTTCGAAGAATATTGATGATTTATATAAACTACTATGAATTAATTGGAACTATTTTACAAACACTAAAAGAAAAAAAAATTAAAAGAATAGATCAGTAGTTTAGAAAATTATTATTGAAAACAAATATTACACAAAATTTGAGCAATAGAAAGTACTTTAAATGGAATTTTATCCATCAATATTTGTGTATTTGGATAAGTATTTGTTACATAAAATGTATCAAAATAAACTTTTGGATTATTTGAATGAAGAAATTTTTTCCAACTTTCATTTGGAAATATACCATGCCCAACAAAAGCCGATATATTTACAGCACCATGCTGTAATAGCGCTTGGGCACATTCAATAAGAGTGCCACCTGATTGTACTAAATCATCAACAATCATACAATGATAACCTTTTGGATTACCTAGAATATGACTAATAGATGTCTATTTGATTCCTATTGATTATATTTAATGTTTACCTTCTTTAACTGTTGTAATACGTTTATCATTATCTTGTCGAATCTTACTACAGATAATAATTGGATAATGTGTATTATCAAATAAATAAGCAAAACGTTTATGAGCTCCATCATCTGGAAAAGCAATAGCATATTTTTCATTGTTAATTTCCTTAGTTTTTAATTCATTCAATAATAATTCAACAGTTGATTCAAGTCGAACAATAATATTAGATGAAAAATAAAATTGATTTTGTAATGCATGAATGTCAAAAATAACAATTTCTGATGGTCCCGTACGTGTTAGTGGTATTGATGAAAGCATTTGTGCTAAAGAATAAGCTGTTGCAATGTCGCCTTGAGTTTGAATACGTTCCATTGTACCAGTAGGAAAATAAGGTAAAAGAACTTTTAATGATCGACAAAGATATTTTGGTAAATGATAAAGAAGAGAAATTTGTTCAAATATAGTAAGTGGACTATGAAATGATGCTAGGAAAAGAACATGACAATTACGAATTTGTTCTGAATTACGGATAAAAATCTTAGGCCATTTATCAGGAAACTCATTCCATTCAATATCACCTAATCGAATAGAATTTTTTCCACTACATAATTGAATTTCTTCGGCTAATTTATGCATTTCTGGAGCATAAAATAAAATAGTTGAATATCCATCATGTTGTTTGTTTACAGTTGATTTAGTTGATAATTTATTAACAGTAATTTTACTAGTCATTGTTAAGACTTATATTAAAGAAAAAAAATGTAAGTAAAAGGAACCGTATAATACGCGCGTATCTACTTTGTTTTTCTTTTGCACTCGTCAACTGAGAATTGATTTTGAAAAGAAGCAGTTGCTATCGGCCCTATTACTATTAATAGTGAACGGCAAGAATCAGATTTTTCTCATTGTGTTCAGCTCTCGAATAAAAGAGAAGAAAAAAAATATATAATTAAAAATTATTCCAACGGAAAATTTTTTCTTATGAACGGTTTCAACATGAATGGTTGTTTTTTGTGCCGATTAAAAATAAAGAATTCCTGTTGGGTTTTTTTCTGTTATTTGCTTTTCTTTACCTTTATTTTGTTATTTTGTATTTCTTCGATATCGACGAATGATTCATAGATACAGAAATGTGACCATGAGGGTTGCGTAAGTTTCCAACCCCTACTTTTAGAATTTTTTTAAAGCTTTTTTCAGCCAAAGTTGAATTTTTAAGGAAACAAAAATCATAAAATAAAAAAAAGAAAGTTAAGTACCCCTTCCCACTTTAATAAACTATATATGCGCCATTTCAACTCTCAAAAAATTTGCTTGCACCCACTCCCTACTTTTTTTCTTTTCGTTGCACTATAAATAATATTAAATTAATTAAAAATCAGATGGAAAAAGAGAAAGGAACAAATAAAAAACATTATACGTAGTTCTTTTATCTTTATGAACTCTTTCGTTCTGACTGGTTTTTTTCCCAGTGGCCTGCTAGAATGACTAATCGTATGTCTAGTATAACCTGTTACTAATTTTTTAAGAATTCTTTTTTTTTGCAATACCTGAAGGGTAAGTATTAAAAAAAGTAAATAAATAGAAGGTATAAAAGAGAATGTTTTACAGCACTATTGTCAGATATTATGAAAATTTCATCAAACGGTAAGCCTGCATTGAAATAATATTGATAAAGCAAGAGCTCAACCAAATAGTAATGTTCCGCACATTTATATACCAACAGCGCGATGCTTACCTGTTGCAATCCAAATTCAGAAAGTTGGAACGACATTCTCGGGAAATACCGACTAAAAAATGTTTATATGTTATACCGGGATTAGTATCCCGTTCATTTGAATTTCCAAATGAAGTTGAAGCTAATATCATTCAATCATTGTTTGAAAGTAAGTTTTGTTTTATATATCTTATTTATATAATCTATATTTTTTTAATATGTCTATATAGATTCACCTGTTTGGATTCAACAAGAGTCAAAATTAGTTGAAGAATCACAAGTAAAAGTTGATAAATATTCTAATTTAATGAAAATATCATTTGGATATTTGGCATCAACGACAGCTTATTTTTGGAGTCAAAATATTATAAGTGGTTCTATGCTAGGATGGAAACCAAATATTCGTCAGAAATATCTGACTATTACATATCAAACTCACATATCAATGGAATTGAGATTGAATCAAGATTCTTTAGATAGATACTTTATAATTTCATTCGACAACATTGGAAGTTATACAATAATTTTGCCTCTTAAAGCATCACCACGTTGTTATCGTTTTAATAAATTTCTGAGAGGTCAATCTAATAGCCGACAACTTGATTTCGGAATTATTAATGAATCATGTTTAGCTAATAGTTCTGCTATATGTTTAAATTTCCATGGATACAATTCATTAGTAGCCTGTGCAAAATTTTTGATTGATGTCATGAAATTAGATTGTTACCAAGGTCATATCGAATGCATTGAAATGCCAGTTCAAAAATTGGAATTTGATCAGATTTTATCAGATTTTTGGTCAAGTTATGCTTTTCAAATGCTATTAACACTAGGAGATCGAATTAAAAATCGAATAACATTAAATATTCTTCGTAAAATTTATCATTTATCAAAATTATCAATCGGCCAGCAGTATCCAAATCATCAATGTTATTCAAAATTAACGGCTATTTATTATCGAGCTCGATACAATCGTTTTTTTGATATCAACCAAGAGTTTGACAATGTTGAACCAGTACTCTCAAGTATTGTCTTGGATAAATGGGAATATGTACCTCGAATATATTTAACGCCATATTGTGTTTATCCTTTGCCAATTAAACCAATGCGAGGAAATAGAATCTTGCGTGAAAGAAATCTGTTTGGTTCTGGCAAAAACTTTTGTCGTGTTATCATTCGAGATGTCGATCTCGGACTACCACAACAAGATTTTATGCAACTAAATAAACAATGGGTTAAAGATTTATTAGTAGCAGAAAGCTATATTACGGTTGGCAATCGAACATTTGAATTTTTACTTTGTTCAAATAGTCAATTGCGTGATCGAAGCTTTTGGTTTCACGCTCCTTATCATAATTATCGGGCAGTACATATAAGGAATTGGATGGGTGATTTTTCATCTGAAAAATGTATAGGAACACGAATTGCAAGAATGGCATTGTCATTAACTGGCACAACAGCAACTATAAAAGTAAATGAAAAGAGTATTATATCTTCTAATTTGTTATTTGAGAAATGTAAACTATTTTTATTTTTAGTTTCTATCACATGAAATTGAACGCATTGATGATAAATATGACGATCAAGATAGGACTTTTACTGATGGAGCTGGTAAAATTTCTCCGATGGCATTAGAAAAAGTTAGTTAAAGTATTTCTTATAAAACAAATTTAAACTCTTGTCTATTTTCATAATTAGGCATTAAAGATTTACAATCCAGAACTAATCGAAGATAATTATATGCCATGTGTAATACAAGCTCGGCTAAATGGTATAAAAGGAGTGTTTGTAATGGCTCCTGATTTAAGTGATAGAGGTGTATTGATTCAGTATCGTCCTAGCCAATATAAATTTAAGGTGGATCATAATGTTTTGGAAATCGTCAAACATTCTAGTTCCGGTAAGAAGAATTTTCAAGAAAAACCTAGATTAGAAATTTATATTTAATAGGGATGGTATTTTTAAATCGACAAGTGATTGTATTACTTGAAAATATGGGAATAGGGCAACATATTTTTGTAAAATTACAAAATAAAGCAAGACAAAAAATATCAATGTCACTATTAGCAAACAAAACAGCTCAGCATACACTTGAACAAAATGTTCGATCTTATGATTGGGAACGAATGCGTCAATCAGGTGTTCAATTAACTCAAGAACCATTTGTACGTTCACTTTTACTTTTACTGGCTCAAGAGAGGTAATATATAAATGTTACATTATATTAGAAATATATTTGTCTTTTCCATAGATTAAAACGATTGAAAGAAAAATCACATATTCAAATTCCACTTTCCGATGGACGAATGTTACTTGGTGTTGTAGATGAAACAAATTCTCTTCAATATGGTCAAGTATTTATTCAACTTCGTGATCTAAATGGACAATGTCAAATAATACAAGATCGAAAGGTTCTAATCACAAAAAATCCAGCACATTTTCCTGGTGACATACGAAAGTTAGACGCTGTTGATTGTCCAGCGCTCTATCATCTGTATGAATGTGTTGTCTTTCCTGCTCAAGGGCAACGTCCTCATCCAAATGAAATAAGTGGTAGTGATATTGATGGTGACGAAGTAAGCTATTTTTCTTTATTTTTTTTTATACATATCTCATTTATTAAGTATTGGGTATGTTGGAATGAGGATCTTGTCAACAATGCTACAATACAACATCCACCAGCTACATTCGATGCAACTGAGAAAGTAAAACATGATGGCGAAATTACAATGAAAGAAATGGCTGATTTCTTTTTCAAATATTTGAGTTCTGACTCTCTGGGAATTTTATCTAACCGTCATTTAGCTTGCTGTGCTCTGTCTGGACCAAGTCATCCAGATTCATGTCGTTTAGCAAAAATTATTTCAGAAGCTGTTGATTTTCCAAAAACTGGAGTACTTCCAAAATATCCAAAAGATATAACTATTAATCAATATCCTGATTTTATGCAAAATAAATATAAAGAATCATTTGTATCAAATTCAAGTATTGGAATCATGTATCGAGAAGTCAGAACAGTCTGGGAAATTCATTTAGCAGAACAAGATAAATTAACAGATCAAAAGATTAATGTTAATAAAGATTTCTTAATACATGGCTATAAAAAATATATTAATCAAGCTCGAAATGAACATGAATATTATTCTTCAAGAATTAATACAATTTTATCCACTTATAATTTAGAAAATGAATATCAATTAATTACAGGATGTCATTCATGTATTGAAGAAGAAAAGAAAAATAATGATTCAGTTGAAACTGCATTATTAGAATTTCGACATCTCAGCCAAGAAATGAGAATTAGGTTTGCAAGTGATGGATTAAAGTAAATAAAATTGTTTTTCTTTTCAATTATTTTTATTGTTTTTGTTTTGTTTTAGTTATATAGAAGGATTACGTAAAACTAGTGCATGGTATCATGTTGCATATGAAAAAGGTACTATACTTAGTTTTGGTTGGATTATGAATCGTTTAATGAGTGATATCATTAAACAAAAACAAATAGTTCAAGAAGAACACCAAGCGTTGAAACGTATTGGTAACGCGATATGTATGCATGATCATGAAATACATATACGAGAAATAGCTCGTTTATCCAATATGGAAAATGAAGAATATGATGTAAATGTCTCGGACACAGAAAGATTAGGTTCCCTATTTTTGAAACTTATTGAGCAATTTAATCAATCTATGAATGAACAAGAATTTGCACATCGCTTTTTAATTTTCTTACATAAAGTTGCGTTAAATATTTATGAATAATTTCGTTACCCGTGTACATAATCCCATATTAATCAAGAGAACATAGAGCGACTATCAAAAAGTTTTTTTTTGAGATTTTATTGAACCAATGTTTCAATAGTATATGATACATTCCAACGAAACCTAAAAGAACAGCTTCAATTCTTATCTGTTCATTTGGTGTTAAAACAGATAGATAACGAGCTTTATAATCACATTCCAAACAATTTCAAAAAAAAATGCATTGATAGTTTTTACTAAATGTAAACCAGAAATTTTCTTTTATTTATAATGTTTTTTTTTGTGATTTTTCATAATTTTTTTTACTAATTTTATAATAAAAATATTTATTCCTGATTCTAATTATATCGATAATCTATTTTGATATGAAACAAGAATTATAATACTGTAGCATTCATTTTGTATTTATTCATAACTCAAATTGATTCCACTTCAAGGTTTAGAAGCGCTTGTATAAATAGCATTGCCTCTCTATTATTGGCTAATGTGAACGGTAAGTACAACTGATTTATCAACCCAAACAAATCTACTCGACAATGAAAGAAAAAAATTTCTTCATTACTTTATATTTATTTAATCGCACTTTTTGCTAAAAACACAATTAATCTCACATTAAATCATGCATCTCTCTCCTACTTACAAGCTATAATATATCCATATAAATTTATATACAACTTATTCTATATCCTAGAGTGTCAAATCCATTAGGTTTTATATCGAATCCAAATAGTATGTAAATTAATATTTTTTTTCTTCCCTATGTCATTTTTTCACATCAATAGCTATGGATAAATCTTATTTACCTATGGAAACTTATAAAAATGCTACAAAAAAAACTTGTTCTTTTTATCGCTGGACAATTCTTATTCTTATTCTTATATTTATTTTGATACCAGCTGTCATATTGACTATAATCTTTGTTATTCAAGCTAAACATAATTCACAATCATCGGTTATTAATACATTGAATACGACAGTTCTTAGTCAAAAATATAATGTCAGTAATAGAGAAAATACGTTTTGGAAAAATTTAATGAAATTTTTCTTATTTAAAATAGATTTCAGTAAAAGGTTTACTAACAATCGATGCAGCTGCGAAAGCGAATATTTGTGATAAAAACGAAACAATTGAAGATTGTGTTCTTATTTATAATGCAAAAGTTTTTATGAATGCACTTTTATTAGTTAGTAAATCTTTTATTTTTTACTACATGAATCTCTTTTTTACTTTGTAACCTTAGATACCTTCATCAACATCAAATTATTCTTCAATATCTTTTACTTTTCCGAAAAATTCTACAAAAAGTACTATTGCTTGTAAAGCATTACGAATTCGTCGAAATCAATTATCACAAATTTTTGAGCCTATGTATGTATCAATCTTTATATATAACTGTTCTTTTTCAAATGTAAAATAAATTCTATCTAGTACTCTTGCAACAATATATAATCTTTCTGGTATTTCATATTCATCAATTGATTATACAACTTCATCTGATCAAGCACAATCACGTTCACAAATTGATGGTCGGTCTATAAAAAGTAGATGGAGTACACCAATTAATTATTATATTAGTCAAACAACTGGTTTTACTTCATCAATGATTGCTAATAGTAAAACAAAAAAAAACAAACAAAAATTGCTAATTTCAATGTTTCGTTTTACAAGTTTATTTTCTATTTTATTAGTTCATATTGCTATTTCAAATTGGGAAAATCATACATGTCTGAAATTCAATGAATTATCGGTTATAACACCAACAACAAATAAATCTTATGTTTTATTTGAACGTGATGATGATTATGGATGTTCAAGTCCAGTTGGTTATGATAAAACTGATCCAACATCAGTTATACTTATTTCATCATATTGTGGTGCTGTAAGTGATATTGTTGCTTGACAAAGAAATCAACTGACGAACTGATCGATCAGTAATTAGTCGGTTAAAAAAAACTAATCAGACATAAATAGTATTAGAAAATAAGTAGAACAGAAAAGATTTTCTTTTCTTTTTTTTCAATTAAACAATCAAATATGCATAAGAATATCAGCAGATTCTAGAACGTATTTTACCGGATTTATTAAATAAATTCTAGTATCTTTTACTATTTCGGAATTTATTAGGACTTCAAGTCGTGGATGTTTTGTATAATAAATCTGCTGATGTAATAATATATTCGAAATAAATCTAGTAGAATATAGTTATTTGATATTATGTGGCAGGGTTTATAATAGGAAGCTTCTGATGACATATCAATCAAAATCAATTTATGCTAAAGAATTAGATGCAGAAAAATACCAGAAGAGATATGTGTATCTTTAATAGGTTCGCTAAGAAATTATTTGATACTAATGAGTTTGTATGACAACCCCTTTAATACAATAATATTTCAGTATAAGTTCATTAAAAAAAAAATTAATTCAATGACAGATTAATTTATCTTGGCACGTATTTAGATAAATTTTAATAAAAGACATCATACTTCCATAATATACGACATAGAAAAAGAATATCTCAAAACTTAAAAAAAGATTCCGTAAATCTCAAAAACAAAAGTTTCGGCAGCTTCTCGAGAGCACCAGAAAAACTGATTGTCGAATTGCGACTTGAAACTTTGCACAGAGACAGACCTTAACGAGAGTAGTTTATTGTGAGAGTTTTAGGTCGTTAGACTTTCTTCTATCCTAAAAAACAAGCATCAAATATTGGAGAGTTGCCCCAAAAGATAGCAGATACTTTATTTCAACTCTTTGTATCTGATAATGAGCGCATCCTACACATTTCTTAAACGACTAGAATCCATCAGGTCTAAAACTTTCGGAACCGGACACGGTCGAGTTCGGGACCAACACAACGGGTTCCACTCTTAGGATAGGAACGGTGAGAAGATCTGAAACTTTCACAAAAAACTATTCACATTAAGGTCTGTCTCTAAGCAAAGTTTCAAGGCAAAATTCAAAAAATCATTTTTTGTTACCACCACATTCATTTAAAAAATACCTTAAAAATCCATTATCTTCGTAGTAATAAGTTTGAAATACGAACTCTGTTTAGGATATTCAGAGTTCGTGTGAGTCTACATATTACGCATAATCTTGACTCAAAAGCTATTTATCATTTGGAGAACTTACCTTGTGAAACAAATTTAATTTCTGCTCAATCGTTAATACTTTTTCTTAACAAATTTACACCTAATTATATATGGAATCATACATTTTCGTATAGATCATTGGTTCAATAATGCATGAAATTGGGCATACACTTGGTTTTATTCATACACAATCACGAGTCGATCGTAACTCTTATGTATCAATAGCAACATCAAATATTCAAGAAGATTATGCAGGAAATTTTTTTATTTGGGTATTTGGTACAATAAGATTTAGCGATGTTACATTTCCTTATGATTATGGCTCATTTATGCATTATGATTCATATGGATTCTCAAAAAATAATGAACCAACAATAATTCCATATGACAGTCGATATGAAAAAACAATGGGACAAAGAGAAAGAGCAGCATTTTATGATTATAAACAAATGAATAGACTTTATTGTACACGGACAGGTGTAAAAAAAAGAATTCTTTTTTTCATAAAATTAAAATCTGATTTATTTCTATTATTGAAGATTGTCCACAAATGTTTAGTAATAATGCTTGTCAGAATAATGGTTATCTTGATCTAAAAACATGTTCATATTGTATATGTCCTGAAGGTTTTACTGGTACTTATTGTGATCAAAGAGATTCAAATAGTAATTGTGGAGATACAATTATTAATTCAAACCCATATTTATCTACACAGATAACTATTCAAAATCCTTCACCGACAAATATAATACCAACACAACAATATTGTGTTTATCTTATTCGAGTAATTGAAGTTTCTTTTATTGTTCATTTGATTATGTTTCGTCTTTTCTTTTTTTGAAGTCTCTTTCACCGAGAAAAATTCGTTTACGATTAGATTCAATCAATACTGTAAAACGTGCAGTATGCAGTTTAACGTCATCAATTGAAGTTAAATATCAAAAAGATCTTGCTTTAACTGGTGCTCGGTTTGTATTATTTAATATTTTATTTTTTTTCGATATAACAAAAACAAAACGTTCATCTTTTCTTTTACAGATGGTGTGGAAATACGATAACACCTGATTGGTTAAATGTTACAGCAGAAACAAATACAATGATAGTTATATTTCGAGCTAACAATTCAATTAACGTTACAACTGGAAATCCACAAGCTAGTTTTCGTGCTACAATTTTCTTTGGTATGTTTAAGTTGAACAGAATTTTGATTTTTGAAATATAACTATTAGCATGCTTGTTTTGTATTTGTCAAGATTTTTGAAACTTCTTAGAAATAACATTTTGAGACAAACAAAAAGAATTACGATGGAGAATTTTCTATTGTATACGAATGCAGTTCTATGAATGAACAACTCTCGTTTCTTCGTATGTGAAACCCCGAAATAAAAAGAAATTCATAAATTGATACTGTTCGATAGTAGTATAAACCTGTACTGATCAGTAAGACTAGGAAGGCCTATTAAATGGTGTATGAATACTTCCTCTTCATTTGTAAATAGAAATCTTTAAGCAAAACTGACTTCACTGTTCAACATGAATTCCTAAGGTGAAAGAATTGAATTCGTATTACAAAAAAAAATTGATTACAGTGCTAATATAATATATCAAATAAAACAAGAAAAAAAAACAAATTGAATCGTTACTTAACTACACTATTTTTAATTTCAAAAGAAAACACGCAGCACTTATTTAATATTCTATGGAAAAAAAACTTGTCATCTGAGTACTGTGTCTAAAATTACGTTCGAACAGAAATGAATTCAAGAAAATGCAGAGCGTGGATGTGAGTAAAAATTTAATTGAGTTGAGCGAAGAAAAGAAAATAACCGATAGCCATAATCACAGCCACAGTCTTCTTTCATTTCCATGGTAGTCTGAAAAATCAAAATCATTGATTCATGAATGTATCTTGAATTTCTTAATTTTTCCTTGAATTGATAATTTTTGAATTGTGGGCATGTTTCTTATTTTTCGTAAAAGATGCTGAACCGATACCTGTTTTAAACCCGACAATAATTACAACAACAACAACAACAACAACTACTACTTCTATTAGTAGTGCAATATCAATAATTCGAACTACTAATAGACTAATGACGACTGAAGCAACCTCATTGACATGTCCTCCATCATCATTTCGTTGTCAATTACCATCACAACCAACATGTGGTGGATGTCTAAATTATCAACCTTGTATCATTGAAGGTTATTCATTGAACAAATTCATCTAACATTTACTATTAATTCATTTCTTTATAGGTACTCAACCATGTTTAGCATATACATATCAAGTTCAATTAACTGATTGTGATAAAATAGTAAATGGTATTGCTCAATGTCGATATCAGTTCGTATAATAAAATTACAATTAAACATATAGAAAAATTTATTCTTCTAGATTTATTCAAACACAATACATAACCAGTTGTCCACGTACTGTTCTTCTTTGTTGTCCAAATTATCGACTTATTTCAATTCAAACACAATATTTTTGTGTATATAATCCCCAAGCAAGCAATCTTCCCAGTGAATGGTCACTTGTTCTCTAAATATCTTCTGTCCTCTATCGTATAAACTTTCATATACATTCATTTGCTATTTTTTTATCCAATAAAAGTAAAAAGGCAATTGTCATTCTGTCATGGTATAACCATTTTTAAAAAGCGAAGAAGGCGCTACACATAGCTTTCTTTGAAGATAGGAATATATTGACAATGAGTAATGCAATTTTAACAGAATTACCTAATGAAAATAATAATCAAGTAGAAAAAGAAGAAATAAATAATAAATCTGAAGAAAAATCAATTAATTCAGCTGTACCTGAGCTTGATGATGTACAATCATTCTGTGCTGAATTTCATATAAAAGTTGAAAATGCAGCGGGTATACGTCCATGGCTACAATTTAGTGATACAAATTTTCCGGGTAACTAAAAAACCAAGCGTTCTTTTTTTCTTTCTCTCAACCAAAAATTTCTATTATAGAAGAAGTTTTAAAACACTTTGAAGAATGTGAATTTGATATGCCAACACCAATTCAATCAATAGCTTGGCCTATTCTTAATCAAAATCGAGATATTGTTGGAATTGCAAGTACAGGAAGTGGAAAAACACTTGCTGTAAGTTATACAAACTGATTAATTTAAAAAACAAACAAACTTCTTCATATTTTAATTTAGTTTATTCTACCACTTGTATTTCACATACGAAAACAGCCACCATTACAACCAGATGATGGTCCTATTGCTATTGTTTTAGCACCAACACGAGAATTAGTTCAACAAATTCATAATGTTGCACAACCATATTTTAATTTGTTTGGAATAAAATCCTTGTGTATTATTGGTGGTGATGAAAGAGAAAAACAAATAAATGAAATTGGTGATGGAAAAGAAGTTTATATATGTACACCAGGAAGATTAGAAGATTTTTTGGAATCAAAAATAACAACACTTTATCGTGTTACATTTATTGTACTTGATGAAGCTGATAAGATGCTTGATTTAGGTTTTGAAACACAAGTTAGAAATATTCTTGCTGATTTTCAAGCACCAAAATCTTCCAAGTAAGAAAAACTGTTAGTACAATATTTGAGGGATTAAAAACAAGGAAGAAAAAACATACTTCTGAAGTACATGAATGTTTATATGAAGATGAGATAGTTTTTGTTACCTTAAGATATTTATTAAACAGTATCAAATATGTCGTTATCTGTTACAAAAAGACGGAGATATAAGTCATAAAAACTTTATTTCGTTTAAGTTTTTCTATTTCTTATCGATGATCAATTATTTTGATTCGTTTCGAATGTCACTTTTTTTATTACTCCATGCACTGATATTAGTATTTATTTCTGTTAGATATTCAGTATGATTCTTTTATCTTTTTTATCATAGTTGAAATAAGTACTAGTTTTCTTTGTACGTATGTTTTCTGTTTGCTTTTATAAGAAAAACAAATAACACCATGTTTATCTCTTTGAATACCTTGGTGCAAAAAAAATAATAGTAAAAAGAGGATTGGTACTTTGTCTTTTACTATAAGTTCTGCTTTCATTATCTTTTTCATGAAAATCTATATTTCTCTTTTATCTCTTGAGTAAAAGAAATTCTTCAAACTATATAGAAGCAAATATACATGTGGGAGTTGACTTTAAAATTCAGTTGCCTTTTAAAGTCAACTAGGTGCCTTTAAAAGGCAACTGAATTTTAAAGTCAACTCCGACATACATATCAAGAAGTACTGAAGTATACTTTTTCCTCCTCGGACTAGAATGTGAAACACGATATAGTTGCTATCGCTAATCACAAGAAGATTGTTTTATTCAATCTATTTTGTGGCATATTTCTTCACCATTGTCTTTGCTTAATCCTTCAGAAATGTAATAAGTAAGTAGTTCAAATGTCATAACGAGACGTTATTGATGTACGATCTTTGATCATATATCAATAACATCTGCGACAGAGAGCAGGCACGTTGTTAAGACATCTGTCACGGCCTGTGGTAGTCTTTGACTAGTGTCTGTCATGGGGATAGGTATGTCACAATACCAATACGGTATTCAGGTATTGGTATTGTGATATGGGTAGTGCAAATTTCTACTCTATATACTTTAACACTCCTTTTACATCGTATTTTACAATAACGAAAAAAACTACTATTTTAATAATCATTTTTTTTTTGTTATTGTTCTATAGTACTGATGAACAACAGCCTCGACGTCAAGCACAAATTTCTATGTTTTCAGCAACATGGCCAAAATCAATAAAAGCTTTAGCTGAAGATTATTTAACAAATTATGTGCATGCAACAGTTGGTTGTTTATCAGAATCTCATGCTGTAAATTTACATATACAACAAATAGTTGATTTTTGTCCAAATGAACAACAAAAAAAGCAAAATCTGTTTAGAATACTAGATGAAGTTTGTGCTTATGCACCCGATCGAAAAGCAATTATATTTGTACGCACACGAGATAAAGTCAATCGATTAAGTAAAGACCTTGAACAGAATGGTTATAAAGCATTACTTTTACATGGATCAAAAAGTCAACAAATGAGAAATGAAGTTTTAATAGAATTTCGTGAAACACCAAATGCACTTTTACTTGCCACTGATGTTGCTTCAAGGGGTTTAGGTATTCAAGTTGTTTTTCTTTTCAAAATAAATTTCAAAAATATTTATTTAAATAGATGTTGATGATGTACGATTTGTAATTAATTATGATTTTCCAACATCTGATGCTGTTTATATACATAGAATCGGACGTACAGGTCGAAGCTCTCATTGTGGTACAGCATTTACATTTTTTTCTAATGAAGATGCTAAACATGCGCCAGCACTTATACATATTTTGGATGAAGCTGGAGCTGTTATTCATCCAATTATATTACAAATAGGACGAAAAAATGGTTTTAATAAATGGGTAGCAAATGTAGGAAGTGAGTAAATTATATGAAGAATTAAGAAAAAAATAAATAAATCTAAGATAATAGACATCTCTTTTCTTATTGTAGTAGACTATAGATTAGCTTATTTGAAACTAACGTTTAAATTAGATATAATTCATTTGTTTAGTTCCTCAATATCCAGTTTATAATCCCGATGAAAATTGGTCTGACGGTAACAATAATAATAATAATAATAATGGTCCAGATTGGTCGAATGATGATTATTCTAATAATGAAGATTTGCCACCAACTTTAATGAGTATTGATTTAAGTTCATTTGATCCTAGTCAATTGCGATCAGTACCGGTGCCACTTTTAAATTCTAATGGACAACTTAATGAACTTGATGTAAATACGCGAATAAAAAATTTTCAAGATTATAAACAACGTTGTCAATTATTAGAACGTTTATCATGGGAATATAATGATGGAAATTATTCAAATAATCAAAATGATTATAATAATTATGACAATAATTATAATAATAATAATAATAATAATAATAATAATAATAATAGGTAAAACTTTTTTGGTTTTATTATGATAAAATTATTGATTTAGTTTGTTTCTTTTTGTATAAATAAAGATATAATGGTGGTTGGTCAAATCCTGGTAGTGAAAGTCAAAATGGAAGAAATTGGAATTCAAATAATAATGAATGGCAAAATAAAAATTTTGATCCAAATCAAAAACGTTCATGGGAAAATAATTCATCCTCTTCAAATATAAATAAAAATAATCAATGGAATACAAACAAAAATAATAATAATGGACAAACAAATTATGATCAATGGAAATCTTCTAATCAATCACAATCTCAACAACAACAACAACAACAACAACAACAGCAACAGCAGCAACAACAACAACCACAAGATCAACAATTATCTGATCTTGAAACTAATCCAGCTATTATATATGCTAAAGCAAGTAGTGAATATCATATACAATATAATCAATATACAACGGCATTACAACAAGCTATGCTTGCTCAACAATCTGGTACGCCAATAACACCACAACAACAACAGTATTTAATCGTATGCTGAGATTTTTAATAATAATTAAATTTTTGAAAGACAAAAAGAAATTTATTCTTTAGACTTTTCAACAGCAATTACAAGCTAAACAACAACAATTACAAGTGATGCAGCAAGCAGCTAATCTTCAACAAGCATCAATTATACAAGCAGCTGCACTTAGTGCTGCTACACAAAATGTTTGGAATCAACCAACAAATACATCACAAACGAATACAATAAATGATTTATCAAAATCAACTACTGATGCTCAACAAAATTGGATGCAACAATGGTATTTCATAATTTAATTTTTTATTATTTTATATAATTGGAATTTTTCTTAGGATTAATGCTGGTTATGATGCTTCTCAAGTTGCTGCTTATCAACAATGGTATATTTTTTTAAATTTATTTGACTATCGTTTTCAAAATCTACATATGCTATTTCTGCATAAACCTGTCGTAATCCTGCGAAAAATTCCAAATCGACAGTTTTAACAGAAAATATACTTAAGTTTACTCACCTGTTATAGCAGAGTTGATAAGTAGGGCATATGAGCTGAAAAATATGGTGATACAAGGTATGTCTACATTTATGCCTTGATCATATGAAAGCCAACAAGAAACATGACTAGAAAGCTGGAAATCCACGTTTTTCTAGACCCGAATTCGGTCGGATCTAGACTCGAGTTTTTTTTTCACCATTATCAGGTAGTCTCTGTATACATGAATAAATAAGAGAGCTAGCTTTTAGATATTTATTGACTAATCTCAGAAAAAAGTCAATGTACAGTTATTTCTTATTGATCACTTTCCCATCATTTGATGCTTAACAAACTAAATGTTTTCGCCTAGTTGAAAAAAGGCATTACTTTAACCGAAAATGAAATCCAACAAATAATTGGTAGATAAAATTCACCACTGAAAATCGTCAAACTTCAGCTCTATGGAATCGCTTTAGTTATATTTATGTATATGAGATCAAATAAGTAGGGAGTTGCAGAGCCACGTTTTGATTGGCTAGGATTCGGATCTGGAAGAATCCGCAGCTTCATACATATGACACTCTTACATTTGA